GGTGAACTCGTTATTGAATAAAGCAAAGCAGGCTTATTATAAGGATTTGCTGAATGAAACGTCAAACAACTTGGACAGTTTTTGGAGTGTCATTAAGAAGCTATACCCAAACAATCCTAGCAAATCTTCTCCGCCAATGTTTAAAATAGGCTCAATTAACACGTCCGATCCCTTAACAATATCAAACGGCTTTTGTTCGTATTTCAGCACAATTGTAACATCCCTCAAAAAGAAAGTTTTTCCACTGAGAGACTGCCTTTGGATCTTCCAGGTGAAGCAAAGCGCCAGGACAAATTGCCGATTTAAGTTTGAAACTGTAAAGTTTCAACAAGTTTTTAATCAATTAAAGTCGCTAAAAAAGAAGAAATCTACTGGTCTGGATAATATCCCAGCTTACGTACTGAAGGACTGTGCTAGCGTTATTACTGAACCTCTAACCCACATTATTAATAGCTCCTTGATTACTGGTGTTTTTCCTACTGATTGGAAACTTTCAAAACTTATACCGATACCTAAATCAAAACCATATAACATCATTAAAAATTACCGCCCAATTTCAATTATTCCTGCAATATCTAAAGTAATTGAAAAGCTGGTTCATCATCAACTATCAAGCTATTTAGAAAATAACAACCTCTTGCATGAAAGCCAATTTGGATTTCGTAAGGGACGCTCCACTGAGTTAGCAGCAACACTCTTTACTGATAATGTTAAAAGAAAGGTGGATGAAGGCAAACTGGTTGGCGCTGTTTTCTTAGATCTTACCAAAGCATTCGATACTCTAAACCATGGAACTCTTTTGAATAAGTTGGAAAGCTATGGGGTGGAAAATATTGAATTACAATGGTTTCAGGATTATCTTTTCAACAGATCACAGCAAGTGCACTATAAGGAATGTATATCAGAAGTTGGGAAAGTCACATCTGGCGTCCCACAGGGATCTATTATTGGCCCCCTACTATTTGTTGTTTTCTTCAACGACTTTTCCTCATGCCTTAAACATTCAAATATTACCATCTATGCTGATGACACGGTAATCTACGTCGCTGGAAAGGATCTTTTTATTATTGAAACTCGACTTTCGGCCGATATGAAATCAATTGCCGAGTGGTGTGTCCAAAACGAACTTATTCTCAACACTAACGCTGGCAAAACGGAATCGATGCTCTTCGGTACTGCTAAAAACCTGGCACAAAACACGCAAACCTTAAACGTGACCTACAGAGACCAGTTGATTAGATCTACGACAACATATATGTACCTGAGTGTTGAAATCAACCATTCACTGAATATGAACACCAACTTTGATAGTACATATAAGAAAGCTTGTGGAAGACTAAGATTATTAAGAAAGATAAGACCTTTTCTTAATGTCAAGGCGGCGAAGGCCATCTATCAAGGGATGGTCTTACCAATTTTAACCTACTGTGGCATATTAAACTTAAATTTATGCAGAACCCGTCAAGACAAACTTTTATCAATTCATCGCCGTGCTGTAGGTATAATTGCATCAAAACCTAACCACGAACTTAGGATAAAATCTCCTCATATCTGCAATCAAATTAAAGCATGTGTATTGGTTCGGAAATGTTTAGATGGAAACGTTTGTTCGAATTTTATAAACTATTTTGAAACGCACAAACATAGCACGATGACCCGAAACAACGGATACAAAGCTAAACTGCCAAAAATCCGGTTAGAATATAGCAGAGGATCGTTTTACTACATGGGAGCGAAACTTTATAACAATCTGCCCCTGGATACACGTAAAACTGAAGATTTTAACTCTTTTAATAAGCTCTTAGAAGAAAACTTTTAACATTTTTACCTTTTATAACTATATGATAATATGTATCTATACATATGTAAACTTCTAATGATTGAATTCCTGTATTTCTAGTATATTTTAAACTTATATAGTGACAGGACCCACATTGATAACAGTTCTTTATTGAACTGACGTGAACATCCTGTATAAATATTCGTTTAATAAATAAAAAAAATAGTTAGTCTGATGATAATTTTAGAATAAAATAATTGAAATATCACAAACTCATTCTCGTCTTGTGTTAACTTATATCTCGAGTATCAAGATGCTGATCTTCGGATTGTGTTTAATTATTTTATACTAAGTTAAATAAACGCTAACCACTGTGGTTTCAAAAAGCCAATCACAAAACGTGTTCATATTCGGTGGGTAGCTATTGGAATCAGCTAACCTCGAAGACACACCACACAAATGTAAACTCTACACTTCTGTCTGGTGACGTTTTAAATCACGTGAAATTAACATCCCATCAGATATTTGGAAGGGAGTTGTGTGGGCAATGACCTTCATTCTTACCTAATTGAACGTTTCTCATCCACAGAGAAGCGCGAGAGGTTTTTAAAACTTTTTCAAAATATACTCCAGCAAACCCACTTGAGAAACACGCACATAATACCGCAAGAAGACCTACTACAGATTTGGAAATATTTTTTTCTTCAGCACCCTCGTTTACATTTTCTTGTTTACTCGGGTCTTCACTTCGCCACTGCAATGACACAAAGAAATATTACCATTTTTAAGAATTTTAAAAATGAAGTAAAACTGGAAAGATAATTGCACTCGGGGAGAAGGCACAGGAGCTCCCCATATTAAACTGATCATTCTTATACTTCGGTGCAAATACTGTAATTGTGAAAGAAATGCATGCATGCTCTTCTTTATAAATATTATGAATAAAAGCTGCACAAAACTGAGAAGCTAATCCCATCGTCAGGATCTCCTAAATCAAAAAGTGAAGAATACATTTCTTATATTGAATTTTCTTCGCCATTTCCAAATTATTTACCAGTCCAAAAATGTGGGCAGGCGCAACCCATGCAACGTTGTATTTAAAAAGTATATGAAAAACAGAACCCATGTAAACAAGTTCACCTATGAAAGTAGAAATAAACAATAAAAACATAAAAATAGGGACATGAGAAATGGAAAAACCAGAACCGATATTTCACAATATTAAAACACACGTTGTAATTATCCACAGCCACACAAGCCGTTCTACTCAGGCTCTACTCCCACGGTTACACCATAAATTAATTTTGTATTCTGCAGAAATTCACTTTTCGCATTGGAGAACACAGTCCTAAATTTCCAACAAAACCTTCTAAATTTCCGACATAACCACAAACGTTCAAGGGCCCCAGCACACCAAACATTTCCGCCAGTCTCTACACTATTTCTTATTTACGAATTACAAATGGCTGGCGCACTGATGTGAAAACTATAAGACACTATATATCTTGTCAATACAAACATTTCAAGGTATATCATTATGAAACATTACCTGAACAAGCGTGACTCCAAACATTAAGATAACTAGTGATAACCATTTCAATTTACCAAGTTGTTTTCCCAGGAGAAGAACACTAAATAACGCCGTAGTTAATATCTTCAGCTGGTACGTTACCTATATATTACAAAACGAAATTATTACAAATATAATTTCTGCTAATGATTTAATTAAACAATTTTATTAAAACATTCCAAAGAGTGCTAAAAACTATAACCAATGCGCTGTAAGTTAACAAATTCACATGCATGCGCACCACCATATAGAAGTGCTTGTTCTCAGTCAGGATTTTACTAAATATTATATGTCAATGCTAATTTATACTAGTTATATTTCTGTCGCTGTGACGCTTGTATACACTGGAAATTTCAAGGACTTGAATTAACTCCAAAAGTGTCATTCTATTTCTGTCACCGTTTTTGGTAGCAGATCAAACATTTGGAGTTGGTCAAGTGTATGCACCTTGCAACTCGTTTAAGACAGAAATTAGGCATGACGTAAGCGCACAACACGCAATGCTGTATGTCCTTCAATGCAATTAAACTATAAAAAACTATATGTCTTATGCAACTCTGTGCGTGATCTTGTTTATTATATAGTAGAGAGTGAGATATTGAGAAATACACAGTGACATATTTTCCATATCTTCACTAGTGAAGATATCGATCACGTGACTATTAGTAAATGGGACTATATAATAAACAGAACATTGTGGGGACCCTGCCAGAATTTGTAATTTATGTAACGCCACAGTTACTAAATTAAAAAAAATAATTAAATCAAATTAAATTAAATTAAATTAAAACACAGTAACAAACAATCAAAAACAGAAACAGCATTTTCCGGTGTGAAAATGAAATACGGAAATAATATATCGAAAAATCATATCTACACAATCAATTCTGAAAATACGATAAACAATGAATAATTAAAAATTGCATCCTAAATCTTTTCATTTTCATCCATTTTGGGGAACCCGATTGACATGCTTAACTTGATATTGTTATTCCGAATTAACGCAACCAAAATAGCAAAAGAAAGTCACGAATTTCTTTTTTGGTAATTCTCGAGGCTCAAAAATCAAAAATGCATGCTAAATTTATACAATCTTTTACATTTTTAAATTTTGCGTACTATGCTTACAGAAAGGCTGGACAAGCGACGACACGAATGACATTTTACACAAATTGTTCTAAGTTACCGTTTGTGGGACATCATTGTCATAAATTTGTTCCACAAAGTTCTGTTCAAATAATCTCCTTTCTGTTACTACAATATATTTTATACTTTAATTCTGTTACTATCTGGTGTCCTTTTGTCAATTTTTAATATAATCTCAAATAAATTAGCGCGTGAAACATCCCTTCAACTGTGGAACAATTATTTTTCGGACAGGAAATTCCGCTGAACATGCAATGTTGTAGATTACCAAAGCACTATCAGCAGCATGACCAGATTTTGTAGCGGTTACTACTTTGAATTTGTGTTAGCCAAAATTTACTAAACCGAGAAAAACTTTACCAAGTTAATTGCGCCCCACCCCGGTTCTGACCCCGGGGACGACGTTAGAAGTTTGAATAAGTATTATAATATAAGTGTGATATAACAGACAATTTGATTGGCTAATGGGCGTGCATTGTGACGCAATAATGCACTGTGATCTGTCGTGCTTTGCTCTTTCTCTGTTTTTCCCTGCTTCATCGCTGTTCTTTAGCCAGAAAAAAATACAAAGTTTGTCAGAAAGCAAGAAGGAATAGACCAAAGGAACAAAGTTCTATACGTGTAGGATTAACATGCAGCTTGGGATTCGTCGAATTTGATGTTGTCTCGAATGTTATCATGGCTTCGACAAGGCAACAAGATGGACTATGTTAGGCAGGCCTGATTATCATTAGGGGAAGTGAGGGTTGGGCTAGCTTAACATCTCTATCACACAAGATCATTATAACACAATTTTTACCAAAAAATTACTGAATGAATAAAATCTTAAAAAAATGCAGTATTATAATATGATGAGCACAGGCTCATAACTGCTCATGAGCACATGCTCATCTGTTCATAAGGCCCGTTTAGACCCGAAGACTGGGTGTACATTCTTCGTTCATGGAAGCCTGGACACCACTGCAGAAAATTGATTAGTAGACATGCAAATGCATATATTTTCGCGTGTTTTAGCCATGATTTTGATTTGTACCCGGCCGACCCATGCAAAAATGACAAGATTTTTTATGTCTTTAAAACTGCAGCCACAGACATCCGCACCACGCAGGTTTTCCGCACTCTAAGCTGACATTTTCATCAATACATTTTAGTATAACACGTAGTTTTTGTACACACTCGATATGTATTGTAGAATGATAGGTCAATGAGGGGTCGATGTGAGGTCGATGTAGGGCATTGGTATCTAGGCACAAAAACAGTACCAAAAGTAACAGCATCTTTGACTATACTAAACCCTATCCGGAATTCAATTTCCGCCATGAAGTTTCTTTCTTCGTCGTGAGCATTATGAGCAGGTGCTCATCTGCTCATAAGTCCCGTTACGTCCTGGTGTTTACAAGCAGAGAACCCTAGCTATATACTTAAGAAATAAATGGTTTAAAACGTTAATTCGTGTCTGTTAATTTATGTATGCATCCAAGCATAGCAGTATATTTTGCTCTAAAATCAGTACGGTTTCGAATTCGCGTTACCCCATTTATCTCCCTTTTGAAGATTTTCTTGAAATGACATGCAATCAATAGTAACGCTTGCTTAATTGGATTATAACTGCATGTGACCAATATGACCTAACACCACGATGACGTCATGGGTGGTGCTTAGTGCACGATCCGCGCCAGAACCCCTCTTCCCCATACTATTATTGATCTAAAAAATGGTGTCTGGGATTTTCGATTTTCAGGCTTTATCAAGCTAGATGTAGTTCTTTTCTAGACATATGTTGTTACACAAAACAATGGCATGTAAAGGCCTGTATCTTACTTAATTTTGATCTAAAACAATTCCCAGACACCCTAGTTAAAATGCATGCTTTTCTTAACCTTTCAATATGTGCATATATCGCAAAATTTATTCGTCTGAAAACAGGCTGTAAACATGGCATGGTTTTTCAAACATAATGCTACTGTCTCCTCCTGGCTGCAATTGCAAAGATAATCCGGTTGACGTTAACCAAGAACAATGCAAGCGGTTTATAATCCGTAATTCGTGAAAGGGGTTCTCTGTGGCTGAGCTATGGCCTGAGGAGATGAAATCCCAGTTGTTATTCTTCTCATCACTTCAAATTGGAAATGCCTTGAGTGAAGAAACACAAAGGTATAACATCTAATTAAACGTACTGGCCGTTCGATTTGCCGTATTTTGCTCTGTGGTTATATAGAGGTAATTTTCAACAACAACCATGGGGGAGGGGGGGAGAGGGGGAGGGGGGGGGGTGGAAGTTTAAACAAGTTGCACTCTCTTGCTAGGAATATAATTTGAAAAACAAAAACAAAAAAAAAACAAAAAAAAACTCATCCAATTTTAAATATTTTCAAAAAATTATTTTTAAACTTTGTGAATATGTAAAAATAAAAATTTTTTTGTACGATTTAGGGTGTTATATCTTTTGTACGATTTAGGGTGTTATATGACCTTAATTGTCTTCATTCAAACGGTGCCTACTTCATTACTACTCCAAATTTCAAACATTCAAACTGTATGTGTCAAATGTGATCAAGCCCGTCCCTTGGTTTCTCTGGTTGGTTGCTAATGTCCTGCAATCAAGCAACTATTTATTAATAAAATGAGAACGCAAAAGTACTCTATGTCATTCAGTGATTTTTCTTTTCAGATGTTTAGATAAAATAAGAGCATGTAATAACAATATTGTCGCGTTTATCTTTTCAATTATGTATTGATGTAGGAGAGGTTGCGGCAAATCCCTATTTTACTCGCAATCACAATTCAAGGAATTTACCCAGTTAGCTAGTTTACTGCGAAATAATAATGAAGATTTATTAATTATTTTTCTAAAACTTTCACCTCTGGTCATCATTAATTATAGAATTCAATTCACATTCACAAAGTTGTAATAACCTGAAGACGGACAGTAAAACTGTCCGAAACGTTGTTAAAAATAAAATAAACCTCTTCAAAAATCCTCTTTGAAAGTGAATGGAATTCTATAATTAAAGATATATTAAAACAATAACAATGCATGTATATATTTAACTTAATCTAAGTAATAAAATAATTACTATTAATAAATTTAATAATATAAGCCACTTGCTAAAATTGTCAACTGTTTAAATTAATAAGTCACTGAACGATACTGGAGTTCAATAGACCTTAGAAAGATAAAGATTTAATAAGTTATTAAACAATATTGGAGTTCCACCTTAAGAGTTCAACGTCACAGGTTGAAGGTGATGGACGCCCAACTAATCATATACCATGTTTCCATGCATCGCTTTGACAGCCCTTGTTTTGTATTTGCAGGATATTTGTATCCGTCATTTTCATAACACAAGGGGATATTTAAAACGAAATACATTTAAATCGAATGGTGTATTAAGTTTGCCTATACACAACGAGCGCATCAACAGCATAACGAGCGCATGCACAGACAGAGAATTCGAAAATGCCTTCCATCCCGTGGAAATACATTTGTATTTATCTTCTGTTTCACAACTACGGCCCAGAAATAACATCAGAGACGTATGAGAAGTACTCCAAGTTATTCAGTAAAGAATATTGCAAAGACCACAAAGACAAAACACAGTGTATTTTTGAGCAGGTTGGAAGCTTGGTGTCACTCGCTAACGATACTTATCACACTTGGTTTGCCAATATTACAACATACATCGAAAAATCTGGTATCAAGCAAGCTATCGAAAAGTATTACAACTCGTATTTCACTTCTGAGAAAAAAGACCGGAGCAACATGAATAAACCTCCCTCTGGTAAGGTAAAGGTGAACGTCAGCACTGCCATGTCGGGAATGTTAGACCAGATGCAGGAAATGTTTAAGAAAACTCTGCCAGGAGATTCAGCAAAAGAAATAAAACAGCGGTTAAAAACTGTTGCCATGAAATACAGAAACATCAACAGTTTTTGCAACATGAAGCTTGGCGTAGATCCTTTAGATGTTCTCAAGCTTATCGATCACGTTGCCCAAATGACAAACATGCCGCGCAATCTCCAAAATATCCTGGAAAACACGATTAATGTGATTGATGCGGAAGGCAGCATGGCTAAAAACGAGCGTTTTGCCTTTGATGGGAAGGTGCACTATGTTCTTATGGCAGCTTATCGAAACGGTAAGATAAACAACAGCACAGTCTAGAATACCGTAGCTATTTTCTCTATTTCGTCCCAGGCTGGGGGCTTATTTTTCTCCATCATCCAGTGCTTCTGGAGTATAGGGGCTTATTTGAAGGCGGTAGTGGTGAAATAAAGGCTCATGGGCGCTAAATATATTTTTACGTTCTTTTAAGTTATGTACAAAACATTTGAAGAAATTTCCATATACAATTTATCATTTTTTAGTGATATCAGTGAATGTTATGTAGAACGTTTGTGTTCATATTTCGCTCCAAGTTTATACAATATATATATATATATATTGAGAATAATCAATTAAGATAGGTTGGGGGCTTAACTTTTATCAGCGATAAACTCCCTATATATAAAAACCCTCACTATGTCCTGTCCCACAAGATGCCCAAAATGTATAACAATTTCTTACGAACTTTAGTTGCATGGTCGCAATTGCACCTTATCAAAACTGGCGGTCTGGCAGTTTCATGAAACTCACACATTGCTGTGACGCAGGCTACAGTGGTTAGCTGGTACAAATTCTGCCCATTGCTACACGTAAAGAAATAACTCTGGATAACGTTACATTAAAAAATACGTTCGTTTTGACTAAAAATCCTCATTCACATAAAAACGTTTAACGCAAGAAGACTTATGTGAAAATCATAAAACGAAACTGTAACTGAAAAAGAAACAACTTTTTGGGTTCAAAAATAAAATATATGATGACATAATATATTGGATTAATCCTGATGAAAGGAATTTACTTATTGGGAGGAGCCCATTTAGCTAGAAACGAATAATTGTTTTTAACAACATCTCGAGTTCCGCTTGTAAACCCCAAATTACTAAGCAATATACGACTAAATTCATAAAAACGCAAATTTAAAACGGGCTACATCGCAACCTTTTTTATATACCGCTTTAGTTCACTGGCTTAGTTAGCAGCTTTTTAATTTAAATTTGCATCAACTTCATCCCAATCTCACTGTGTGCATGAAAGTTGCATTAAAAGCTTACTTTGTTACTTTCTTGTAGGAAATGTTTCATTTGACATTGGATTGGCAGTATATTACGTAGAGTACAAGATTAGTCCCAAGGGTTATCAAGACGCTGATCAAGAAACACTTAAAAAGTTAATACGCTTTTTAGAAACTGATACAGATGATGCTGAAGGTGACATAGCTTGGGACGGAATGGATGATTTGCATGCTTACTTCTATGGAGAGGCATATAATATGTTCGCCTCCGAATGCCCATCTCTTCTAACTGGATTTAAGAAGACTCAGAATGATATCAAGTCCATTAATTGACATCGTACTTCAATATAATTATAATTTAGTAACTGTAATTAGCATACAATGCATTTTATTTCATAATTATATAAATTTCGTGAAATACTGTATAACGAACTAACATCTATGCAACAGAATGTTTTATAGACAAAGAATTGGTATATTCCATTTCTGCAGTCAAATTGATCTACAGTATTTTTTGACCCATTTTCAACAGATGTAATTAACTTCAGCTAATTAGCTAGACAATCGAGAGGATTATCTATGATTCAAATCAGGCTTTTACATAATATGACATGTCTTCATAATAACATTTATTTAGTAACAACATGTCTGCCATGTATTTCCATCATATACGCGAGTTATTCCAAAAAAGATCTGCATAACCCTTCCTCATATACCGAGGAATATGCTGTCCAGATGGGAAGAGAGAAAAAGATATTTCTCTGCCATATTAACCATAGCCATGTTAAACTTTATACTCATGTCATAATATTTGCATTTCCATAGTGCAGTACACAGTTTGGCTGATCAAATTTGTCCTAGCCAATGATCAGTGAAGGAAAATTGCTCGAATTGATCATTCTATCCTACTGTATTTAGAATCTAGTTTTAACTTTGGCTCTTTATAACGTTGCAAGGTTATTTCTTGGTAGTTCTATTTTCTTTCTACTTAATTGTTAAAAAGTCAGAAAAGTACATTATTTAATAAATTTTGTTCTTGCTACTGTTGCTGTTGCTGCTGTTGCTGCATTGGGTAACCACACAGGGGCAAAGGTGCCCTTTCTGATTTCAGGGAAATATTTGAGATTTTAGGAAAATATTTCAGATTTTTAAAAAGTCATTATATGTTTGCCAAGCTCAATATCACAAATCAAGATATTATTAGGGGAAAATGTACATCACTGTTCTCGTAGGGGTCGGTTTGACTATGAAATTGTCAATTTTGGTGGTTTAGAAATTGTTTTTACTCCAACGGCCATTGCAATGGGAAGGACTCCACTATGAAAATCTGTCCCCTTGCCCTCACGTCATTCCTGTGTCCCTGTGCTTATTTCACATCTTGTACTGAGAACAAGCTTCGTACAGAAGAACAAAATTTAGCACAGACTGTAAATACATTCTCAAATGTTCAGCCTTCAATTCCATGCAACTGCCATGCATGCACTACTGAAACATTCCCCGCACAAAGATGATACTTTACAGTATTATTCCCACTCTGCTGGGATGCCCACATATTGTGAAAATCCCAAACCACATCAGGCACGTACTGCGCAAGCAGGGGGGTTGGGGGAGAGCTAGGTTCAGCCGCCAAATCATCTTCATAACACTGAATGCATATATGCCCTTTTGTACTTGGTTTTGGAAATTGGTACACTAGTACTATATATCATAAATACTGTTATTATTAAATAATTATACAATGTAGTTGGTAAAAGCAATTTGATTGGGTAAGCTAGAGCTTACAGTTAAATCGTAGAATCACACAACCTACAGAAAATTTAGTTATAATAACTGCTAGCAGATAACTGAGTTATCTGCAAATAAGCCTGCAATGATTAGCAAGCGGTGTCTAATATTTAACACAAACAAACATATAATAAAACAATTATTGAATTCGGTTTTTGCGATATGCAAAATTATCAAGGTCTCGACCTTGACATAGGAGAATGGGACTGATGTTTTACGCTGGGGGGGGGGGGCAGTTGAAAGTTTGCTTGAATTTTTAATCTTGATTTTGCCTAGCATTTGCCCGAATTTCCATGGCTTTTCAAAATTGGGGGGGAGGGGGCAACTCCTGCCCCCTGTCTCGTACGCCTATAGACCTTGATAATTTTGCATATCACAAAAACCTCATCCAATAATTGTTAAATAGTTGCATGCTCAGCTGGCTATACTATCTTTGCATGCGAAGTTGAAATATATTTCTCCTTTTTTACGTGACGCTACCATTATAGCCAGAACTAGATTAATTATCAGTTTTGAAAGGTAAAAAATACTAGTTTTGAAAGCGTTTTGGGCTTCTACAGTGTCACAGTTTTAAATATGCCCATTACAAACTTTCTTACAACATAAATAGGAGAAAATCCTCTCTGTTGTATGTAGGTTGTAACAGGCTATTTTAGGACATATTTCAGGAATCTGGAATTTATACAATTTGCTGTGTTTTTCCAGTTTTGCCCACAATAACATGGCCTTCTAGCTAAGACCCTGTTTGTCCTGTTTCACAGAAATATATTTGGCTATAAATATAAATATGGTATACTTTAAACAAAATTATTGTGGGAAATACTGAAATAGCTGGAGCTTGTAATTTCCAAAATTTTCTTGGGGCACGCTCCCAGACACCCCCAGGAAGGTTCGATCGCTGCTGCACCACAAACTTACTTCATCTCAATACCAGTCCCCCCCCCTAATCAGAAAATCACTGCGGGGTCCATGCACTAACGTGATTTCTGACCTGATTTCCTGATTTCTAACCCGATTTCCTGATTTCTGTGAGTTACCACTGTCATATAAGACTGTGGGCTCAATAATAACAAAGTTTCAGTGATTTCTGATTTCAAAATTCACATATCTCTCTCGTGATTTCTTGATTTCGGGTTTCATTTCTGTTGATTTCTGAGTCGAGTGTACGAGATTTCAGCCGTGTCGGACCCCTGTCGTCGATGCACTGTGATAGAATCTTCGATCGGCTTTCAATTTCCCTTGGGTTCGCCCATGCCCCTACCCTGGGGGAGGAGCATAACAAATATGTTAACGAACCTGATAAGTAGCAGCATCCAAATTCGATAATGCCAGGTATAACAGATTATTTTGAACAGTATATAAAAAAGCAGGAACACACATTTTTAATGTATCTGTTGGTTTAGAAAAAACGTTCTCGTTCAGTGCATTACAAAACACCTTGGGTTGAAATCTTGAGTCATTGAGGACAATAAACAAGCATATAAATAGTTTTAAGACTTCAGATAAGAATACAGCAGTCGATGACAAGTAAGGTTCTTGGCCATTAGCAATGTTAATTGTTCTTGAATAACGAAGTACCAAGACCATTGTTGACGTCTGGACAGTTAGAACTCCAAGAGCCAAGTATTTTAATCGCAAACGGAATATTCCCACTAAAAAGAAAAGCGTTATATCTATTGGTGATATTATTAGCTTAATAAAAATAGAGAAAATAACGTCAATACCTGTTATAAATTCTTCGACCCCTAGGTTTAATTCCGCCATATTGATTTTTGTCTTCTTCGGGAAGACTCGTAAAGTTTCGGATTACAACGATGGTTTTCCCCTGAGTTGTAGACTGTCGTCTATCGAAGTTTGGGATTTTTTTATACGAAAATTTAAGACAGGTTAAGACAAGTAGTATCAACAGAAATGTATCATAACATACTGCTGCTTCTAGCAATAGGCTCGATATATGGAATCAATGTAATTATTTATTCTGCCACGAGTACAAGAAATACATATTGTGTGAAGACTGCGTGTTGTGTAACTATAGCAACGAAAGCATTAATGAATATATGTAGCCCCATGGTTCCCCTCCCACCCAATCATGCATGGGCCAGAGGTAATTTCACTGGCCTTAGAGTGACAAAACGTAACAAAGCAACGGTTTTACTAACACTAACCCTATTCCAAACACCAACTCTAACAATAGCTTAAATAGTATCAGTAGGGGCTGGGATATGCAATCCACTGGGACATACTTAAAATATATGGTATTTACAACACAATGTTTAGCATTTCTAAAAAGACATTGAATCGTTTGAAGATAAAAGACAATACATAAGATTTACAAGCAAATTTCAGTTACTAGAATATCAAACCTCCCTTCTAAATTCCATTTTTCTTCCAATGTTTTGCTTATATTTTAGAGAAAAGGGACCTTGACTGGGGGAGAAGTTATTTCGCTAACATTTCGTCAAAAATTTTCTCTTCAAGATTGGTTTAGGAACAAACTTGGAGTAGAGTTAGGTTAGGGTTAGGATCAGGGTTTTTTTAAAGTAGTGATCGAATTGTAGTATTTACATAAACATACCATTCAAGTACTTAACTGAAGATTCAGTCTATCTATTATTTATTATATATGTACACAAGGTCTGGATATGAGGTAGTTCTGCAATCTGATTGGTTCTCTACTAGCAGGATATTAGCTCATATCCTGCTAGTAGAGAAAAACAAAATGAATGAAAACTGAATTTCCGACGTTTGCAAACGAGAAAACGGCAAGTTGTACTGATCCAGAAATCTGTTAATTTCAGAAAACGCACGAAATGTAGTCCTATAGGGGTGAAAAATACAACATACTTATACGACACCACACCACACCAAACTTTTCGGAGTTCGTAAATTTTTCGATCGAACCGAAATTTCTATTGTTCAAATTCAAAAGATTTCTGATTAGTTCCATCTGAGTGCTTGTAAGACAAAAGAAAATTTCGATTCGGTCGAAAATTTTCGCCTAGTGGAAAACCGCCTTTACGCAAAAAAGAAAACGCTAATATGGGACGAAGCAACTATACTATGCAGGTCGAAAGAGCGAAACTGTCAATTTATTATCGTTGTTTATATTTTAAAGTATCATGTTGGGCCTGCATGCACAAGTGTGATCCATGCGAGGCAGCCAAAACTCGTCACACATGAATACTGCAGCGAGCCATGCATATTTCGCAGAACGTTTCCAATATTTGTACGAGTATGTTATACTGTATACCATTTTAAAGCTTATATGCGATGCTGAAAACGAGGTTTTCTGTTTAGGTGCCATGCGATATTTATTGTACCCCCGGGCCGCAGCAAATCAATTTTGAATGTTAAAGCCCCGCTTAGGTTGATGATGTGATAAAAATCTCCAGCCCCACTCGGAACTTTGCTAAAAAAAGTTCAGTTCTGCCCCGCACTACTGTCACTGTTAGTAATGAAAGCTTGTGCAGCGCCGTAGAGTTGCTTACCATGATAGCTAGAGGAAATCGCTGAAATGTGCAGGAGAGCGGCTGACACTGCGACCCCAGCGGGTCTGAACTTCCGATCTTACAGAGAATAAACCGCGCCCTGGCCTCTCACTTGTCAGTACTGATTTCCTTCATCGGACGAAGATTCTGGCACTTGCGAAGATTTTGGCACTGACAAAGATTCTGACAAGGAAAAAATAATCTTTGTACCCGGCTTCTATATGCAGTTGCAAGGCAGAAAAATATTTGTGCGCCCCACTTCTACGGAGCTAAAAAAAAGTATGTGCCCCGTCCCCTTTTGCTCTGGGCCCGTACGGAAAATATTGTTGAAGATATCCCAGAACATTTCAGCTACTATAAATTCAACGAAATTGTAACTATAATAAATTTATTTATATACTGGATAGCTCTATTTGTTGTAGACTTATACATGCATGTTCTAACAGTGGTCCATGGTAACTACAGGACGAAACCTAAACTAGACTCAATTTATTTATACTATAGAGGGCACTTATTTATATCTCGTATTTGTTGTTTCTCTTCCAGACGTATTCTTGCAAAATCTACTTCTTCGCTGTCAACATTCGTGATATCATGCATTTGGTTTTGGAATTTCATCTTCGTTAGTACGTCAGTGATTTATAAACTGTTCTTCGTCGAGGTCCAGTGTATAGCGTATATATATACTCAGTGAGTCAATAGATAAGTTTATACATAGTCAATTTCGCTGTGAAAGCTTTTTTCGCATGATTGCATGCCAGAAATATACATTTGTTTGGTATTTGGGGAAACATCACGTTTATGAAATACGATACTTTTTGTGTGCGTTGGAGTTATGTACTCAGGTGAATACGATGTTTGTGGTGTTACTGTGAAAGTGCATGCATACACACCCGCGGGCAAGTTTGAAAGTTTGCTTGACCACGGTGGCAAACTTTTCAACTTGCCCGATGTGGATACACACGTAGAGTAACACCTCAAAAAACTACAAAATCACGTTTATTTTGTATTACAATAGCCAGGGCCGTAACTAGACGCGATAATTGGGGGGGGGGGGCATATTCATACATCGTGTTCTGCCCGATGGATTTCTTTTGAAAGCAATTGTTTTTACGGTACGTATATGAACATGAAAACATGAATATGCTCAGGATATTAGCTCATGGACATCCCATGAAAATAGGAGAGCTTTCTGCAATGGCAACAAAATTTAAGTCTGCATTTAGCTTAGGCAGAAAAAAACATGTTTATTATAATTTTAAAATAAGTTACACTATACAAATTTTCTAGCTTTTCATTTTTCGTTCTCGAGATACTTTAAGTTCGCCCCAGATTGGGGTTCGGGCAGCGTTACCATTTTGACTGTCATGGTCAACTTGTCCTAAAATAGTTGAGATTATCTGTCCTAAATGAAATGCATACGAACTCATATACAAGTCCTAGTCCTAGGGTCTATTCTATCTTCAATTGAATCTAACAACTACTTAATAAATAAACGACTCCCCAATCTTCCTCATTACTCCATGCTGGCGTTAATGTATAATTGGTCTGAGATCAGTGCATGGCAGCGTCTTTAACTGGAGTTATTTGCAAATAATCATTCATACCATGCGATTTGTTCCAAACTTTGATGAAAAAAATAAGATGAAAATTTCATAAAGATTTCCATATTGATGCCAAATAGGCTTCTTCAATCGACGCATTAAAAATAGAACAGAGCGGAAGTTAGAATATATGAAAAGTCCTTCAAAATCCAATTCGGATTCGCTTTACCCGAGATAATTCAGCTTAATTTAACTTTGTCCACAGTCACTCCGTATTTATCCGATAGTTCAGTGATAGTAGGTTGTACAGATAACTCCCGCATGTTTGTAGTCGCCTGAATAAAGCAATTGTTTATATGGTTGGCAAGTTCAACACCTTCGAGCAAAGAATCATTGTAAAGAATACTACACACCTGGCTAGTACCATTCATTCCAGCAAGGATTTTCACTTCTTTCCCCCACTGCATGTTGAGTGTTTTCCCGCACTGCTTGATTTTGTTTTTAAGATAGCGTGGTTTTGTCTTTTTCACTAATTGATTTATCATATTTCTCAATGATCGAAACTCCGGTGATTGCATGTGGTCCTAATAACTTCCAAACTTTACGCCGTTCAACCATAGCTCGTTTAATTTCTGCAGATATCGAAGATTTAATTTGTCCACGGAATGGGTTTTTACGGGTAATAGGTTTTTTGAATTGTAAAATTTCGTCAATGACGTCACTGAACGTACGGTCAAAAAGTTCGTACTGGACTAAAGGTCACGGTTTTCAATTTTTCAAAAAAAGCAGGTGTCTATTGGCACTGCAAGTGTCACGGATCTTGTCTAAAAGTACACACGAGTGACCACGAATGATTTCTGTGTTTAAAAATTATGATAGAAATAATAATAAAATAGTAATAAAAACTATTTTAAGGTGGTTCCCTAGGGTTTTTACTACACGGACACAGTATACTACATGACACAGTATCCAGAATTAACGATTTCTTTACTTTACATGACATGCCCGAAGACGAAATTCATTGGACACATTGACAATGCTCTCCTGAACATTACAATTGGCAACTTTTGAGCTGAAAGTCCGTTACCATGGCAACAGCGTGCTTAGGATAAAGCTCAAAATTTGTCTTTATCTAATTCCGGCCATTTAAACGGAATTCCCTTCGGTAAATTTTTTTAAAACTTTGCATAAAAAAATAATTCTCGTATAATGAATTTTTTCTTCGATTTTAAAATAGTCTATCGAACGTTTCTTAGAAAATTTCAAAAACGTCACAAATCAATATTAAAACATTTACCTACGATAAAATTTTAATAAAAAAGGATATTGAGCTTAAAAAAAATTTACCGAAGGAAAAGGGAGAAATTTAGGTCTTCAGGCTAGAAAATTCAAAAATAGCGGACAAATAGTGGGGTTAATAAATAGAAAACATATTTCGTAAAAAAAACGATAAAAGCTTTCATTTCTTGGTTTACAACATATTACTCTATATAGAGTACGAGAATCTGGATATAAATTGACTGATGAAGCTGACGATTATCATTTATCAGAGTTACAACTTACAATTTTACTTTCTGTAAAAGTGCAATACAGACGATACAACGTAATATGAGCGGCCGTATTGTTCACGATTTACAAACACGAGCAAAAGACAAGTGGCTCCCAAATGCTGTATCTTGTGATACAGAATGTATAAAGCTTGTGATTCACAGCTCAGTCTGATCGAGTCGAATGCGTTCTAAGGATCTTGTACCAAATATTCAAGCTCCTTCACGGTCAAAATTTCGTGTTTATTATTTCGCTTCCGTATACAATTTGTATTTTGTTATCGCGGAGACGAAAAAAAGCGGGGGCCGAGGGCGAGGTACAGCCGCTTTGGTCGCCCCTTCCGTCGGGAAAAATTACCATTTTGTCGGGGAAAATAATATAATTTGTGACCAGTGCGTTTTTTTGTTTCTGCATGGATTCATTTTGTTATGCATTCAGGTGAACACATATGTTTGTAATGTGATGTTGATGGTTTGCTAGTCCAATGCTCTACCAACTGAGCTACGAGTTGAAGTTCGTTCGAGTTGGTGATATTTCGGAACTCATGTCTAGTTCCTTCGATTTCAGTGTGTTTCTATGATCTTGAATTCGTGTGCTGTCACAGACACTTATAAAGACAATTATACTCTGCTGTCATAGATACTTATAAGTTATAAAGACAATTGTATTCTGCTGAAAGTATCCCCAAAATGCAGGAAATAGCATTTCGTAAACTGAAAATTCAAACATTTTCTCGTGGACACTCCCGAATTTCCCCAATTGAACAGACAGAACAATAGTAGGCTGTAAGAACTACTCCCACCTGTCGAGGAGCTCAGCTTTGCATTGTCAAGGAATTCCTGGCGCCTTCACTCACCGGACCACAGAAGCCTATGATTTGCTCAATACCATTCACAACAGCAAAATTGCTGGTGCAAGTCTTATTCCCAATGACCCAAAAATATTAGGAAAATTCCATCTCCCATTTTATCCCCTCATAACACATTTTAACAAACGTTTTTGGATTGATACATCAATTAATTTATTTCTTTGACCGACTTGGAGTACATGATTACTACAATTTCTTACTTAACAATCATTCAAGCAAAACTACAACCAGAAATCTAGAATTATAGCTTCTTAATTAAAGCTTCTTTATCTGTGCTATCACCAAGTTTTCTGTCCATTCAGGACAGTTACGCAACCCCAGCTTTCTGTCAAATTACAGAAAGCAAATGGAATCTCAAGAGTTGCAAGGCCTTAATTGTATATAAATGTGTCGATATATGCATGGGTATATATTATATAGTTTCTATACTATGATACGATCTCTATATTCTTTCTAAAGGTTATAATGATGCCTGGTTTCCATTTCGTCGTCACGGTCGCAAGTAAATTCGGGCAAAATGCTGGGGAAAATGAAGAAGATATTCGGGTAGGTTTACCACAAAATGTGTTAAACTCAGGTGATTTATTACAGTTCTTAATAAGAATTCGGGCAAACTCTGGAGTGAGCCCCTGTAAAGGATTGATACCGTTAGCTATATCTCAATTATTTCTGGAATATTAGTAAATACTGATACGCATCACAACAGCAAAATAAATGCAGATTTCTTCCCCATATTTTTCATAACTACGACAAAATGGAAGCCATGCAGGCTTAATTAAATTACCAAACTATGATTCTACGAAATTGTTGAGGATTATACACATCAATCTATGAAAATCTAACGTTCCATTTCTCAGAACTAAAACTTGGACACTAATCTATTTTGACCATCCATAGTTGTTTCTGGATAATTCTCCTCTTCTTCTTCAACCTTGCTTGGCTTGAAGTTGTCGTACATTTGATCATCAAATGACGCCAGAAACGCTGATATGACGTCATAACAGAAAATATACTGTGCCTATACAAATAATCATATCAATGTCAAAGTCATCTAATCGTTATACATGCAGAAGGATACTTTGTTACAACTGCAGTGCGATTAAGTACAGTAATGCATTTTGAATTACGGAAGAAAGTTGATTTTCCACATTATCACCAAAGACCATGCAACAATGCATTGCAAGCGATATACTCGTGTAACGTGACTAACGTCCCCGATCTAGTTTGCAACCGGCGTCGCAATGAAAGCAGTTTGCAGCGATATCCAAAGAGTGAAACTTGCTTTGTGACCTGCCAGCCGATTACATTTTTCGTTTTGAATTTACAAAAGAATCTGTCCTTTTTACAATTATTCTTTTTCGTAGTTAATAGTTGATTTTGCACAAAATAGTGCGAGGCTAATTGCGCTAGCGATTTTAGACTGTACAATTTTGTTTTAATTTTCAAGTTGTATATTGCCTCGTGTATTACACCCTAGGATAATTATGTTGCTGGTTGCAAGTAGCATTTCCCAGTAAAATTAATGCACAATAAGTATAGGTAGTAGGATGGTTTCGAGTGCAATTTGGATAAAACATGCACGAGTGAGTTTTTCAAAGAGCATCAAAGTAGCACGAGTCCGAAGGACGAGTGCTATTTGAGGTCTTTGAAAAACGCGCGAGTGCTTGTTTTATCCAATTTTCACGAGAAACTAACCGATTACGTATTAATCGGATTAATAATACTTGAGGACTGCTTTAAACTGATTGGTTGAATTTAGATCCCATTGTCGTTTTTCCACCAATTAGATCACCAGTTTGTTACAGATTGTTGCAATGATCAACTCTCCCCCGTAACTTCCAACTCTCATCAACTCTCATCCTCGTTTGACCGCGAAGGTTAAAGCATATATAGTTAATAGAATAGATGGTTTGGAAACTCATTAGAATAACAATATAACTAAATA